CAAAGATATAAAAATACCCTCCCTCGGTATCCGATGTGGCCAATCTACGAATCCTTTCGACCCGCCTTCTCAAACAAAATGAAAGTACGCCAATATTAAATGGGGTTGTTCGCTTTATATGCACATTCCACGGCCTCATCGGACAACTTATGCCAAGCCCTTTTTGTCACCAAAAATACCGAAAGCAAAGTTGATGCTCACTGGGGCAGTAATCTATTTAAGTGAATTGTGTCTTGACTCTCCATTGAAAAGGAAAAGTTGGTTAGAAGGAATTTGTGATGTGGTAGCACCGGAAACCGAAGGAGGCTTGCCGAGTAGGGAAGTCTGTTGAATTATGCGAAGAAGTCGTCGGTTCTCCGTCCTGCGGCCGCGATGATATCGCGCTATGCCTTCGTCTGTACGGTGACAGACTTCATCAGAGCAGGAATTCATACTTGACAAAATAGAGCATTAATGTACCAAACTAAGAGAAAAGTTGACCGCTCTTTTATACACTCACCTTCGCGAACTTAATGAGACATCCCATCCTTACATCCTTACTCTACATACGCGCAAATGAGTGAAGCTACTTCACGAACCTGAAGTGAGTTCGGTTGCAGCTGTTTCCTTACACAAATAAAATAGTGTACGATCTCATCTATTTAATGGCAATTAATATGTAATTGTCTATTAATCCTTATGGGTTGGATGATCTACCAAGGAAGTGGAACATAAAAATATTGTATAAAGAGTCATTGACACATTCTGTGGTGGTTGCTTCGCTTAGAGAATTTTCAGACCCCCTTTCCAGATCAGGTTGTTACAAAGTTTTGTGCTCATGTGCAGAGCCCTGCCGGCCCATCAAGAAAAAACTATGCAAACATAAATCCTCTTGTAAAGGTATATAGTTACAGCAGAACAGCCAACGTTCTGAATAGGAAGAACGAGTGTAGAAAACTGGTTAGGTACTATTTATGGCTGTTGGACAGGCTTAAAGAAAGGGAGAGAGAGGGAGTGGAGGAAGAGCCACTGAGCAAGAAAAGGAGGCTGGATTATCCTCGAGTCTAGCTAGGACTATCAAACTTTGTATGACACGAACATTACATACACACTATAGACAATAACACAAGCCCAAACATGATTCAACATTAGAAGATCATACACTATTTTATTTGTGTAAGGAAACAGCTTCCAGTGAACTAACTTTCGGTTCGTGAATTAGCTTCACGTATGTAGAGTAAGGCTGAAGTAGCCAACCAAATCATGGGATGCCTCATTATATTCGCGAAGGTAAGTGTATAAAAGAGCAACTAGGGTTGCAGCCGGTCAACTTTTCTCTTGGTTTAGTACATTTATGCTCTATTTTGTCAAGTATGGATTCCTGCTCTAATGAATTCTGTCACCGTACAGACGAAGGGATAGTGCGGTATTATCGCGGCCGCAGGATGGAGAACCGAAGACTTCTTCGCATAATTCAACAGACTTCCCTATTCTGCAATCCCCATTCGGTTTCCTGTGAGACCACATCACAAATTCCTTCTTACTAACTTTCCCTTTTAAATGGAGAGTCATGTCCCAATATATCGTTAAGA